GGGGGGGGGGGGGGGGGGGGGGTAGGGGGTGCGTGCGTGGGTGCGTGCGCGCGTGCGTGCGTGTGTGTATGTGGTGTGTGTGTGGTGTGTGTGTGTGTGTGTTTGTGTGCTTGCATGCATGCATGCATGCATGCATGCATGCGTACGGCTGATCGCGCACCTGGCCTGCGAGCCTCGCTGCACCCCCAGGTTGTTGAGTTTCTGGGGTGTTTGGATCGCCACACTCCACATATGCAATCACACACTGCCCCCAACGTCTCACCCTGGGCTCCTGGACCGCAGTCACGCGTTCCACAACTGCAATCACTCCCCCCAATTGCCCATCTTGAGCTTGTGCACCGCAGCCGACTCACTTTAACCCGCACCCTGTTTGCAACCCTATCCAGAACGGCCTGCCCTCGCCCGCCTGCTCGCCGTCGGCGGTGTCCGTCGGGGCCATCTACGACGACAACTTTGGCGCTCGCGACTGGGGCGTCTGCTCCGACGCCGCCATCGCCGCCGGCCAGGTTGCGTGCTTCAGCAACAGCGCCAGCTACCTCACTCTCCTGGCGCCGGGCGCCGTCATCAACGCCGGCGGCTGGAGCATGGCCGGCACGAGCCAGGCCGCGCCGCACGTCGCGGGGGCGATTGCAGTGCTCAAGGCAGCCCGACCGGATGCCATCGTGTCCCAGATCATTGCCGTCCTGCAGTCCAGCGGCAAACTGGTGACCGACCCGGGCAACCGCGTCACCACGTCGCGCATCGACGTGGACGCGGCGGTCGCGGCCCTCGCCGGCGGCGGCGGCGGCGGCGTGGGGGCCAACACCGACACGGCGCCGCCGATAGTCAGCGCGTTCCTGATCAACGGCGGCGCGACGACGACGGCGTCCCTGGACGTGACCCTGACGATCGCTGCCCAGGACGCGAGCGGCGTTGCTTCGATGTGTATCGCCAACGATGCCGCCGCCGCCGGCGCCGGCTGCGCGCCCTTCGAGGCGTTCTCCGTCTCCAAGGCGTGGCGGCTGGCGGACGGCCCCGACGGTGCGCGCGCGGTGTTTGTCCTGCTGCGCGATGCGCAGGGCAACACCATGGCGGCGCCCGCCTCGGCTTCCGTGCAGTATCTCGCCCCCAGCAGTACGCTCGTGATCAACAACGGCGCGAAGTACACCAACTCGAGGACTGCGACCTTGGCAATCGCCGCCGAGGGGGCGACCCCCCAAAACACCAAGATTTGCATCACCCAGACTGCGACTTCGGCCGACGGCTGCGCGTCTTGGTCTGGCTTTTCGGCTTCCAAGAAGATCTCCCTTGGATCTGCTGCGTCCCAGGGGCTCAGGACAGTCAGGGTCTTCTTCCGCGGCACGGCCGCACCAGCCAACGCGCCGCCGCCAGCTGAGGCGACCGTCACATTTGACAGTGTCCCGCCGGTGATGGCGGCGGCGCCGATGGCGCTCGCTGCGACGGCGACCAGCAGCAGCGTGGCCGTTACTTTCATCCAGGCCGCCACCGACGACGCGTCCGGAGTTGCGTCGTACACTGTCGTGGGCCGCCAGGCCTCGTTGGCCCCCTCCAAGTGCACCAGTGCAGCCCTCAAAAAGGCGCAGAGCATCGGCCTGGCGAGCGTCCAGCCGGCGGCGACGGCCTCGGCCGGGGCGGCGGCCGCGCCGGTGAGCGTCTCCTTTTCGGGCTTGAAGCCAGCCGCTTCTTATGCGTTCAGGGTTTGCGCGACAGACAACGCCGGCAACATGGCCACGGGCATCACCGTGGTGGCTAAGACAACAGTTGCCGCTTGAATCGGACGACAAGCGGAGACTGTGAGGAGGCTCAGGGTGCCTTGCAGTCCCCCTCCTCTTTGCGTACTTATACCAGTTCTGGCGCCGCGCTAGCCGCTCGATTTATACAGAGCCTTGCTGGCTGTCTGCCACTGCCACCCTTCCTCGCTCCTAGGTTGCCGCACGGCAGTGTGCGGCTCCCTACCTTCACCACTTATGAAAGTCTCCACCAGTGATGTATCTCTTACTTCTAGCATCCCTTTTCGCATCCCAGTGCCTTTTGGCCGATCACCCATCTCTTGATCTGCATATCTTGGATCCCGGCCTGAGCATCTGCTTGCGCCGCGTGGCGAGCGACCCAGATGCGCGTCTGGGGTGCGTCGCAGCTGCAAGGCCGCAGTGCCCAGGACAATGCACACAGTATTACCGCGAATGCCTCCCTGTTGCAGCGGTCCGATCGAGCCCTGCATGGGCTGCACGATCCCGCTCCCTCGCGCCCTGCCGCGCCCAACCAAACCTGCACCACGCTAAGTGTGCTCGGACGCACACACACTCGGCAGCACTGCGTCACTGCAAACCACGCATTTCGGATTACTATGTAGGTCATCATGACCACACCAACTCCATCGCTGCCTGCCAACCAAGTCATGCCTGGCAACCTCTTGCACCTAGGCAAGGCCGGCACTCTGCTTTCTTCAGCCTTACGTCGTCGTTTGCAGGATCTGCATTCACCTTGGAGCCTGATGTTATTGCCGGGCGTGCGTGCACGCACTCTCCCGTACAGACAGCGCAGCTGCCCTGGTGGTCGCTCGCCGCTGTGAGCCACACAGCACACACCTACACCAACGCACGTCACATCCCGCCACCCCATGCAGCAGGCACAGCGAAGCATTCACAACCGAGCGCACACCCTTGCCTGTGCACCCCGTGTGAAAGCATGTTTTTGGGCCACCTGGCCTGCACTTGCATGAGCCCCGAATGTCAAGCTGCAGATAGCCGCCGGCTGCCCCGTGTCATCCCGGTCCAGCCCGGCCCACTCGCTGACCACACTTGTCAATTGTGGCGGCAGCGAGCCACTGCCCCGGTTTCCAGGCGCGCACATGGGAGTGAACGATGCCTCGCCCTTGTGGGCTGTCGGTAGATGACAATTGATACACGTACTTTTCCGAGAGGAGGTATCGGTGAGTTGATGTCTCATGCCTTGTCCTTCAAGGGTTGCAGCAGGACACGCTTTGCAACAGAGACAGTTACATCGTGTAACCAGTGGCACAATCACCTCGGCACAGGTGTGGTTGCTGCTGCACAGGGCAGTCGCACGGCTGCCTGCCGCACACGCGCGCGCCAGCTGGCAGCAGGCTGACCTCGGATGTCGAGCCATGTGATGAGGCCTACAACAGCACCAATGGCGAAATCCAGGAGCTGCCAACCACACACGCACCCAGACAAAATGCGAAAATGCAACCCAGGAAGCAAGCAGGATTCTTCTACGAGGCACGCTGCTTTTTTGCTGCGGTCGCGGCTCCCGCGGTGGGCCCCTTGCTGCCGCCGTTCTGCTTTCGCTTCAACTTCTCAACCATGGCCCTCAGGTCGCCGCCTGCCTGCCGCTCCCCTCCGTCCACCCCTGCACCCACGGCAGCGCCCGCCGACGCCTTCGCGTTCCCCGTCGCGGCTGCGGCCGCGGGCGCAGCGGCGCCGTTTTGCTGCTGCTGCTGCTGCTGCCCCTCATGCTGCTGCTCCTGCTGGTGTTGCCTCCGCTGCCGTTTGCTGCTCACCGCCGCTGCCACCTTCTTGGCGCCCTTGGACTTGCCAAACCTGGTGCGTTGGGGTTCCGAGGTTGGAAGCGATTCGGCGAAAGTTCCGAAGCGAAGGTGCTCGAGGCGTGGCCCAGGGCCGTTCTAGGGCGCGAGCGGACAAGGCCGAAGGGGGAGGCGCGGCCCTAACAAGTCATTCACCAATTGACACCTGGTGTTGCAGATGTCGAACCCACCACCCCCGAGGCTGAGCTCTCCCGGCCCCATCGAGCCCTGCAGTTCCCTCCTCCACATCAGACCTACAGCTTGGACCCCGAGCCCACACCTGACCCAGCCAGCCTCGTCCCATCCCCAGGACCATAAACATAATCCCATCCCAGATCCACCAGTTCCACCCTTCAAGACACCCTGTGTCCCCATCCACTGCTCTTATGCACGAGCTCAAACACCAACCCAAATTATTCTGTTGATGGTTTCTCAAAGGTGTGGCAACGCGTGCAGGTGGGCCGTGACGCTCCCTGCAACACCACCCCTCTCGCCCCCACCTGGGGTCTGTGGGGTCAAGGGCGAAGGCGTTGTCCTCGAAGAGGCCCCTGAAACGGGTATCCTGCAGATCGACCTGGGGATAACGGTGGGGATTGAAATAGGGATTAGGAATTGGATGAGGATTAGGGTGAGGATAAGGATTGGAACAACGTGTTGATTAGGGTTATGGCAGCGTCCCGCGATCGCCCGCGTCTGGAGCCACCCAGGCTCATGGGATTGGAGGTTGTTGCATTATGATCGACCGCAGGGAGCGAACGGCGCGGCGCATCGCAGCTCGCAGGTGCCGGGGCGCAGGGCTACTGGCAGGCCGCCCGCGCCACACAGGAGCCGAGCGGGCTCGGCCGCCCCTCGGACAGGCCGCCTCACGCACGAGCCGCGCTGCCTGCGCGTCGCCGCGCCCTGGAGCCCCTCAATACGTCGTAGTCCCGGCAACGGGGAGCTGGGTGGAAAGCAGCACCCCAACGCCCCGCCACCGTCGCAAGGCACAGCCCCCATCCTTGCCCCCAACAACCCACCTCGAAGCCCTCCGCCCCCGCCCCGATGTCCTCCTCGTCAGAGCCGCCACCCCTCTCCCGCGCCCTCCGCTTCTCCGCCACCTTCTGCCGCCGCTTCTCCTTCCGGCTGGGTGCCCCGCCCTTTGCGGCCCCCGCGGTCTCCGTTACCTCCCCGCCCCGCGCCGCCGCGGCGGCGGCCGCGGCCGCGCTGCCGACGCCGCGGGCGGCGTCGCGGAGCGCTGAGTCATCCATGAGTAGGAGCTCCAGCTCCGCCTTGCGCCGCTCCTCCTCCTGCCGCCGCCGCCGCCGCTCCTCCTTGCTCTCTTTCTCCCCGGCCGCGCCGCCGCCGCCCCGCTGCTGCTGCTGCTTCTGGCGCTCCCGCTCGGCCGCATTCTTGCCCTGCTTGCCCCGCCCCTTGGCCGCGGCGGCGCCTGCAGGGTCGTCATCGCCCTCCTCTG